CTTGTTACCATGAGCCAAAATCTGCTTCTCCGTAATATGGGAAAATTACAAACCTATACCTAAAATTTGCCTTAGCTGCCTTCCCATGGTATTTACAGTTTTATGCTGAAAATAGTCTAACTCCACGCACAAAATTATTTCCTGTGTTAGAGATAAGAAGGATGTTATTTGACCCATTTTATGATAAAGAAAGATAGATATGTATTACATAAAAACTTGCAAAACATAAACTGGTTTCTCAGATTCTCAAGGGTATTGACTGTCTCTCCCTTGAGTTTCCATAAATGTTGCCTTTCAAGGGAAAACCACCTATCTTCAAGACATGAATAACTATTTCCTCTGTCTGCTTCCATGCAGCAGTCTTGAAAATGTCTTTATCTCATCTGAAAAGTTGAATTACATAATCCAGTCCCAAACTTCTCTCTTGCTCAATGCTAGTTCCCAAATTGTAATCAAGGAATGTGATTACAATGTTTTTGAAGCCTCGTACCTGCTCCCTGCTTCTGACCTCACTAGAGTCACTTGCTTCCTATCCTTGCGTGGTTTCTCACTTGTCTGTAATTATATAAATAAGCAATTCTATTCACTATAACTTTGAGATCCATTTCCCTGAAAAGAGAATCCATCAGCTGCTATTCATAATAAATTGTGATTAATTTATCATTTAATCAGATTTGTGATCATTGTGTTATCTATAGCATCTATAACTTCTACCCTTTTGTCTGGTTCTGCTTTTGAGATCACAGAATCATAGATTTAAAAGTGGAAAGAGGGCAGCTAGGTGGTACAGTAGATAGAGCACCAGCCTTGGAGTCAGGAGGAACTCCAGGAGTTCAAATGTGACCTCAGACACCTGACACTTACCAGCTGTGTGACCCTGGGCAAGTCACTTAGCCCTGATTGCCTCATCAGTCCCTCACCTTCATTTTACAGATGGAGAAAATGAGACACAGAGGTTAAATCTGTCTTTCACTTGACAATTCATCCATGTGACTGTCATTTTCTCTGTCTCCGGATTGTGACTCAAACCAGTTGTAGACTCCCTCCTGCACTTCACATTTGTGTTTGAGTCTTGTCTCTCCGCTCTCCAAAGCAGTTCCATGAAGACAGGAGAATTTGTCCTTCTTCCAAATCCACTACCTTCCCTTCTACCTTTGGTGCCTAGAACTATTGTAAGGGAGGGACTTTTCTCTTAGTGTTTGTGGAAAGTGTTTGTTACTGTTATTGTGTATATAAAAGTAATTTTAATGTCATAAATCTGTGGCAATAAGATTGTGCAAAACCATCCCCTTGTTGACGCTGCCCAGGATAGATGCATTTCTTTAACACTTCTTCACTGAATTTAGAGCTGGGAGAGACCTTGGAGTTCAACCCTTTCATTTTGAAGTTGAGGAAACTGAAGTCCTGAAATGTATGACGTTGTGCCTAATGTCACAAACACGTGAAGTTGCTAGATCAGGATTCAACCAAATCCTTCTGCTCTGTGTCCAGTATTCTCTACAAAAGTGTGAGGGGGCCATCTCCGGTTGTCCTGATCTATAGCTTGCCACTGGACCCAGGTAGCTGCAGAGGAGAAAATGAGGCTGGTGACTTTGCACAGCCCTCCCTCACTTAAATCCTATTCGCTTGCAAATTACCTTCCTGACATCATGGGCCTCTTGGAGAACAAAGGACTAACAACAACAAAAGTGTGAATTGCCTAAATCACATAGCCAGGAAGAGAATCTAGTAGATTTCTTATTCCCAATCTTCAGCTCCCAAAGAGAATTTTAAAATAATAGCTTATTACAAATAATAATTTTTAAATAATTGAAAAGCTCTTTTAAAAAGCTATTTACATAGCACTTTGAAGTTTACACATGTAACATATCATATATACATCATATGTATGTGTGTTATATATGGGGATTATATATTATGTATTATATATGATTATGTATCATATATGCTTCCACATCTCTTCCCATTAGAATATAAGCTCTTTGAAGGCAGGAACTGATTCACATTGATTTTTGTAAAGTTGTTTTTGCTAGTAATAATAGCTCGTATTTAGATAGCCTTTTAAGGTTCGCAAAGTTCTTTAATACTGTATGCTATTTCATTTGATCGTCACAACAACCTTGTGAGGTAGGTGCTATTTTATATCCACATTTTATAGTTGAGAAAACTGAAGTTTAGAGAGGTTATTTGACTTGTCCCAAGATCACATAGCTAGTAAATGTCTGAGACAGGTTTTACACTCAGGACTTCCTGACTCAGGGCTTACTTCCTTGACTCCACCACTGAGTCCACCTACTAGATCACCCAGTTGCCTATGACATGAAAAAAAAAATCCATTATAGCAAAAACAAGAATAGCTTCCTTAAAATATCAGGTTTAGAGGCAGCTAGGTAGTGCAGTGGATAGTGCTCTGGCCTTGGAGTCTGGAGGACCTGAGTTCAAATCTGACCCCACACACGTGATAATTACTAGCAATGTGACCATGGGCAAGTCATTTAACCTCATTGCCTAGCCAAAAAAAAAAAAAAAAAATTACCAAATTTGAAGAAGTTCTCCAATTGGCTTGCTGTAATGTTACTGTTGAAAAATGAGAAAATTCTTTTTTCCCAAGAGGTAGGTATTTTTTACTCTGTCAATCTTAAACTTCAAATTTATAGGCTTAGACAAAATTACTCTTAATGACTGTTTAATTTATTAGCAAGAATAAGTAATATCAAAATGTGCTTAAATATTTTTTAATGTACAGAAGACTGTAATGGGGTCACTTCTTTTTTCCCCTCTACCACTCTACACTGAGTATTGGGAGGGTGGGGAGTTACTGCCCAAAGGAAGTATTTAAACTGAGATTTAAACTCTAGGTAGAGATTTTCCAAGCATTATTCTCTGAGAAAATCAAAGGAAAGAAAGGTAATATTGAGTGGACTTCACTAGAGCCAACTCCTAGGTTGGCACCAGTCACAACCCCATGATGAAAACCTAGATGGTGAAGTGGTTAGAGTGCTGAGCAAGGAGTGAGGAGGAACTGAGTTCAAATGCTGCCTCAGACACCAGCTTGTGTAACCCTGGACAAGTCACTTGCCCTTGTTTGCCTCAGTTTTTTCACCTGTAAAACAAGGTGGAGAAGGAAAGGCAAAACACTCCATATCTTTGTCAAGAAAACCTCAAATGGAGTCACGACTGACAACACATTCCAAGAGCTCATCTACCCTCATTCTCTGGGGTTTAACAGATGGTATCTTGCTCTTGCCTCTCCACAACCTCTGTCTACTACCCCCCAAACTGAAGCAGATGTCCCTTCCTCTAGGTTATAGGAATCCTCAAAACAAACCAAGTTTTCCTGGAATGTCTCCTTTAGCCCAAGGATTTTCTATCATTTTGGATAGATTCTCCAAAGATAGAGATCCTGGATAGATCCTCTACAGTTTCTGGGATCCCAGTGAGATCTTCCTAAATCTTTGTGGGTTTCACTAACAAAGGGACTAAACAATTATTGTAGAAAATATAGCACCAGCCCTGAAGTCAGGACAACCTGAGTTCAAATCCGGCCTCAGACACATAACACTAGCTGTGTGACTCTGGGCAAGTCACTTAACCCCAATTGCCTCACCAAAAAAAAAAAAAAATATGCAACAGAGAGCACTTAACAGGGCCATAACCATCACTTTCACGTCATTCCCAGAAGCATCCTCAATCAGCTGAAGTTTCATCTCCCCACATTCTCTTCTGCACAATGTGTGAGGAACCCAGGCAGTTTTGCTGCCTCCCATATTTCGAGACAAGGACTAGTTCAAATCACTCAAGGAGAATGGTAAAGAACTCGGCTGCAATCTTTGGGCTTTGTTAATGGCTATGGTCCTGGAAAACCTTAACCAATCTGGCTGCTTCTGCGCTGCTCGCATTGCTCCCAGCCCATATTTCCCTCCTCACGTTTAGCAGCTATGTGGCTTTGGATTCAGCTGCGTGCTCCAGGTAAATACCAGACTGCCTGCGCAAAAAAAACGTGTGTGTGTGTGTGTGTGTGTGTTTGTGTGTGTGTGTGTGTGTGTGTGTGTGTGTGTGTGTGTAAATTTTTTTTTTCCTCCATCGTCGGGGCTTCTCCTGCGTTAAGGCTTCTCTCTAATGAAGTAGTACCTCCGGTCCGAAAGCATCATGGGACATGTAGTCCAGAACGTTCTCACTTTTCCCCTTAAATTGTAAAGTATTGACAGAGTGTGGTATATCCCTTAAGAAGCCGCTTATATTTTCATAATCGCCTGGGGGGGGGCAAAAATAACCGGGATGGGAAGAAACTTTTTTTAAAGAGTAAAACAACTTTGAAACAATTAAAATTTTTTTTAAATTTCTTTTTATTTTCAATTTCAAATTCTCTTCCATCCTCCATTCCTTACCCCGCCCATTGAGAAGGCAAGAAATAAGATACCTATTATATATGTATATGTGTGTTTGTGTGTATATATGTATGTATACATATGCACACACACACACATATATACATATGTATACATATGTACACACATCACGAAAAACATATTTCCTCATTGGCCATGGCGGGTGGGGGGAGAAAAATAAAATGGAAAAAAAAAAGCTTCAATCTGCACTCACTGCATCAGTTCTCTGGCTGGAGGTGTTTAGCATTTTTTTTAAATAGTCGTGGATCACTGTATTGATCAGAGTCGTTACAATGTTGCTGTTACTATGAACAATAATAAACACTGTCGGACAAACAACACCCCAGTCCTATCAAGCTCCCCCTCATCCTAAATTAAAAAAAAAAAGTTTCGAGAAAACAATACATTTCCTAGCTTTTTCCGTAGTCTTTTAAAGCGCTAATCCAGAAAAAGGATTAGAGTAACTACTCCAGTCTAGCTCTATCTCATTGGCTGGTGTCTCCATCACTCAGCCCAACCTCGGCCTCCTGCCTCTCCCATTGCCTCTTCCCCAGGGGGCGGGTTCTTCTTCTTGTTTTCGGACCTGGTATGATCCAGCCAATGAGAGCGGAGTAGAGGAGGCAGGCTCAGCCAATACTGCTGGAGCGGGATATTCGAATAAGTTTCCTTCGGGACTGCGCTGAGCTTCGCCTTCTTACCCGGCGGTGGTGGCTAGTCTGAGAAGAAGTGGGGACCCGAGCTGTAGGTAGCCCTGCGGTCGGGCCCGGATCTGGGGTATAGTGGGGCACTAGGGCTGGTGGGGGCGAGGGGGGTGAGGGAGCGGGCCGGGGGGGGGGAGCAGCGCGTTGCAGCCGCGCGCCAGACTCCAAGGCTGTTAACCAGGCTGCGCGCGCACTCCGCAGCTGGAGCGCGTTGGCCTCTCTCAGGACTCGCTGCTCGTTCTGCCCAGGCCCGAGGCCGACGACGGTACTGAAGAGGAAGGGGCAATGGCGGCCAAGGCGAGGGGAGCTCTTCTGAGGGACCCGGGGACGCCCTCTCTTCGAGGGGAGCAGCAGAAGGGGGCCATGGCCCCGCTCTTGGAGGGCTCTTCTCCCCCTACCCAGGCTGTTTCTTGACTCGCACTTGGCCAGGCCTTGCCACCAGCTGCCCCTCTCCCCTCCCGCCCCCGCCTTTCCCACTCCTCACTAACCCCCTTTGGTCCTTCCCCTCCACTTTTCCCCTTCCTTCTCTTCCTTCTCTCATCCCACCCACTCCCTCTTCTCCCCTCCCCCTCATCACTCCCCCTCATCCCTCCCCTCCCCCTCCCTCCTCTCCCCTCCCCCTCGTCTCTTCCCTCCCTCCCCCCCCAGGCCACCCTTCATTAATATTTAACTCTTCCGAGAGTCAGGTTCAGGCTTGTCCATTTCCTCCGGTGGTTGGACCCAGGACTTCCCATTCTGGCCTGGTCTGCCCATATGGTCGTTTGTGATGTGAATTTGCCTCCATCCTAGGTGGATGTGGTGCACAACTGCGGGAGAAGGGAGTCCTCCCAGCTCTTCCCTCTCTGCCAACTAGATGGTTAGAGAGAGCTGGACCTGGACTCAGGAAGACCTGAGTTCAAATTCGGCCTCAGACACTAGCTGTGTGGTCCTGGGCAAGTCACTTAGTCTCTGTTGGCCTCAGTGTCCTCAACTTTAAAGTGGGGAATCATAATAGCATCTACCATAGTAGGTGCTTAATAAATACTTAGTTCCTCCCTGGCACATTACATACACTTACCTATGGTCTGCTGGGGATAAAGAGCCATCTAAGGGAAGGATGGATATATGTGTATGTACACACACACACACACACACACACACACACACACTCACTCTCTGGGCTTTTCTCAGCCCCAGTGAACAGAGGAGAGGGAATGTCAGAGTCTTTGTGACATAGTGGAAAAATCGAGGTACTTTGTGTGATACGAGGCTTGGATTTGAATCCCACCTCTAATGCCTGTGTGGACAGGGAATATCACTTAAACTTCTCTGAGCTTGAGTTTCCTAATCTGTAAAATAGAGCTAATAAACCTGTATGTAGTGTTTATCCCATAAAGTTGTTGGGTGATTCAAATGAGAACTCTAAGGTGCTGTGCTAACCCTTAAAGTGCTATGTAAATGTCGTTATTATTGATGGTTCGATTTATAGATCATAGAATGACAGAATTGGAAGGGATCTTAGATATTATCTAGTCCAGTTGCTTCTTTTGATGAATGAGAAAATTGAGACTCAGAAAGTGGAAAAGACTTTTACAACATCACAGTCTTGTTAAGAATCAGTCTGATGGAACCCAGATTTCCTGAATCCTTGGTCCAGTATGTTTTCTGTTGTTCCATTATGGTTCTCATCTTTTTGCTGTTTCTTTTTCCTACCCAGAATTCCTTCCACCCCCTTTTCCTTTGCAAGATGTCAGAGAAGGAGAATGCCCATCTAGGATCTTACAGCACATCCTTGGTAAGGGGAACTTGTGGGAAGTTCATATATGACATCTGAGGGAAATATATCCAGAGTAGTGTTTGCCTCTGGGTAATTTTATTTCATTTTTTAAAATATGTAATGTTTAAAAAGTTAAAAACTAATTTATATAGTTAATTAAAATTTAAAATAATTTTATTAATCATGCTAGCAATAATTAATGAAAGGGGTCAGTGATGTTCTCAAATGGCAGAGACCTCTCATGGAACTCACACAACACATATGCCTGTGGAAGACTGGGTGTTCCTGAGGGTGTTAATTGACTCTGATTGGTTAAATAGGTAATGAAGAGAATGAATATTATAATAAGAGGTGGAACTATTCTAAAGAAGGGTTGGCTTACTTGACTTTTATCTGGGCATTTATTTCCAAACACTCCCAGCCTTGGGCACTCTAATAAAAGAATTTATCCCCACCAAATTCTGAGTAGAACACAATGGATTTCTCCACCTGGGTTGAATCTGAACAAGATTGAGGAGAAAGTTAATACAATTTTATCAGCAATGTCTTTCAGATACTGACTTGGCCTAGTAGAGAATAAGGTTTCAGAAGGGGATAAATCCTGTCTCCCCAGTATTAACAATTAGTTATTTAATAATCATTTCTTTCAAATAAAAATATGATATAACAGTGGGGTCCCCAACAGGTCTAAGGATTAAATCACTACAGCTTTGAAATGCCAGCAGTCTGTGAGAAAGGGAAAACATGGCAGCATCTCCTGGCCTGTTAATTGGTTGGGTTAGGCTTTGCAATGAGCTGATCAGTCACAATCAACCTATTGGAGACTTTTGGTCTAGGTAAACTTGTAACATCCTGCTGTGCAGTTGAACATTCCCTGCAACTCACATTCATAGCAGGATGTGACAAGAAGTGCTACAAGTTAAATCCAACAAGCATCTTTTTGAGCACCTTCTACATACAAGGTACTGTACTAAGTGTTGGGGATAAAAAGACAAAAATACAAAAACACTCCCTGCCTTCAAGGTGATTATATTTTATAAATAAAGACAGATTTTAAAATGGTTTAAATAAATTAATGTACAAATAGCAATATAATGGATTATTAAGGCGATATCCTTAACATTTTGAGGTTGGCATTTTGAAGAGTTTTCTTACAAAACATCTCTTAGTACTGTAAGAATACTGGGAGAGATGAACCATTAGTCAGACCTAGGGTTATAATTTGTTCTTATGAACCCTAAGTTGGTAAAGAGACAAAGAGAAATGGTCTAAACACAAGACTCCATCCCATTCAGTGGAGCCATTGGCCCAAATATTGTAACGTCTACTTGTCCTTTCACACACGTCCTGAAGGCTGTATAATGTTTCAAGAGTGAAGGTTAGATACAAGAACACTTGCCATCTTTGCTATGTGAGTGCTGTACCCTGAGAAGAACTATACATACTATTGTTTTAGTAGAATAAGGCACTCATGATTTTGAATGGGAAAGTGTTTGAGAGGGCCTCCCTCCCCACATTTACACATAAAAGTCATGGGGGACATCCCATCCCCCACCTCTGGATTTTCAATAGTGCCAGAAGTCTATCTTCTTTATATGTGTTTGATTTTGTTTTGAGTCATTAAGTATGAAGTAAATTAATTTAAAAGATTATGTAGGGCTTTGAGAGCCTGCTTTGATGAAGTGTGTGGAAGTTTCATCACCTTTAGGACATTTGTAAAGTAAACTTTTCCCCTTTAAGAATTTGAGTTTGTAGTATCCTTGCTTGTCTATTCCATTCTTTACAGATGTGGGGTTTGGGGACAGGACACCTTGGTTAGGGGTAGGAGCTTACTGAAATACTTATGGATCGGTGGTACAACTCACAACCCACCCACCCCTACCTTCTCATTTTGTGAGACACTTGTCCAGATGTTTCTCTAAAGTAGGGGTCCTTAACCCATTAGTGTCATGGAATCCTTTGGCAGTCTTGTGAACCTTGTGGACTCCTTCTATTTTTAAATGGATATAATATATAGGATCAGAAAGAAAACTGATTATATTGAAATAGCAATTTTCAGGATATTAAAAAAAAAAAGTACATAGACCCCAGGTGAAGAACCCCTACTCTAAATCCTTCACAAAGGGTCCACCCAAAATCTCTCTGCTGGTGGATGCCAATGCTACATGACTGGTCTATCTCCTTTTCTAGTAATATACCTTTTTAATGTTTTTTACACCACCTCTCTTGTATAATTCTTCACTCTTAATGTGTTGCAGCATATTTGTGTCCATATTGCACATTTCCATGGCTCACAGTGATACAGCATCACCGGAAGAATATTGATAAAACTTTTTTTCCCTACAAATAAGTTTAGCTTCATTGAAAGGTCTATACAGTTTGCCAGTGACAATCCAAGTCTGCTTTCCTCCTCTTCCTACTCAATTCTGGGGACAAGTCTTTGTACATCTACCAAGCTATGTGTGCTGATAGTCCTCTATAGATCCCCAAGGCATTGTCCTTTGCCTTGTTGGTTTTCCTGAGGGCCTTTTTCTATCCATCTTTCAGGTAAACTCTCCTACATGTAGTGTCTCCAGCAGTTAGTCTGTGAGCTCCTTGGGAGCAAGGATTGTCTTTTCTATTTGTATGCCCAATGCTTGGTACATACATAGTAAGTGTTTAATAAATGTTTTTTCATCTATTCATTAATGGACGATAGGCATTCTTCATTCACTTGGTGAATTCACTGTGTGAATAGTTAGGCTGAACTCTTAAGTGATCATTTAAGGAGACTGCAGTATTCCAGATCTTGATGCAGTTGGCAAAAAAAAAAATTTCTGGATGACCTCACCTTCTAGGAAATAAGCCTTCCATTTCAACTCTGCAGTGGATATCCTCCATGTCAGTTACAAATATGTTTGTTGAAAGTTTCTCTGTTTAATGCTTTGTTCAATTATTAATAATCAAAAGGTAAAACAAAATTCTGTTACATCTTTGAAAGAATCTCATATGACTTTGAAAAATACTTGGCTTGGTTGGAAGACAACCTTTTTGGTTTTATTTTTTCAGTTACATTTGCTTTATTAAACCACAGTTTTTTATAGTCAAGAAACTAACAATAGAATCTTGTGTATTTTCTGCACATTTGACTAATTGTGTATGACTGAAGGTAACTGTCTGCAGTAGAATCTGCAACGCTTGCCTGTGGCTTCTTCGTTGATGATGTCCTTAATACCTGTGCAGATTTTCTAGTCCAGCAACTCTACTCAGTATGGTTTTCCTCAGTGCTGTTCCTATTTCCACAAATAACACCATGAAAACTGTAATGTTAGTTTTCAAAAGTAGTGGCATCATTGTCACTGATGAAGAAAATAGTTTGTAATAGAAATCTCCAGTTTCATCCTTAAGTTCTCTAAACCTGACTTAATTGGACCTGTTGCCAAGCTTTCTATGATTTTTCCCCCTCCATTGTCCTTTTTTCTTTAAATGAGATAATTCTCATGGTTATTCCGCCATTTTCCTCACAAAGGTTTTACAAACCTGGCCACAGTGGTTTCTAGCTTCTTTTGATCTCCTGGTAATTTATTTACATTAGTTAAACTTCCTTGTGCTTAAATGCCCCTGTGGCAAATCTATAGGAGCATATGGATAGGTAATGATCTGCATCAATGAAGAACATACCTCCATTAATGAAATCAAAGATTTATTGATGTAGAAACTTCTCTTTTATTAATTTTTCAGTACTTGATTTGAATAGATCTGATTAGAACTGTTATAATTAATCATATGCCACATCTTTCTATTCTTTTGGTATTGATTTAGATTTTTGTTCTAACTGTACATAGTGGATTATTGGCAGCTACTCCTTTCTTATCTGTTAACATGTAAGGAGTTCATGGTTGTGATGTTATTTGGTGTTTGCTATGTTCAACACCTCCTCACTCTCTTTTTGAAGACAGTACCCGTGTTGTATAGGTATGAGGCTTCCGTCAGGGCTATAAGTCTTTGGGGGTTCTTATTTCATATTCTTCAACTATGTTTTCCAACATAATTTTTTGCCATCTTCTGATATACTACCTTTGCACTATGTCACTAAGTATTATAGTGCATATTAAGTATTATAGTACAAATTAAAATTTGGAGTTCTTTGAAGAATTTCTTTACCTTCTCAGCAACAAATGTTGGCATATGAACTCCAGTTTTTCATGGTCTTTTTGTAGATGCTTATCATGAGCACAGCAATATTAAACAAGCAGATGTGCCACAAACTAATGTTTCTTATTGCCTTTGGACACAGGATAAAAAACCAACTTCACTGGTTCCTTCATTTGCTTCTCCAAGGACTTTTTTTTGTCTTTAAGTAGTATAGGGTAAAAATAGCCTGTGACTCATGTTATCTAGATAAAAGTAAGTGTTAGGAGCAGGAGCTTTGAATCCTACTTATACAATTGTAGGGTTGAAAGGGTTCATCTTGAGGGTCATCTGGTTCAGCCCCTACCCAAAGCATAAATCACTGAAAAGTGATTATCCAGTCACAGCTTTAAAGACCCTTAGTGATAAATAGGGAAGTGCCTCTAAGGTCAGGGGTGAGTTGTAGGATCCTTTCAGAAATAAGAAGAGCACACAGGGGCTGTAACAACTGGGGTCCCACCTTTTCTCTGCATTTCTGCCTGGTAATGAGGAATGAAGGGACATACCCATGCGCGCATGCATGTACAGATACACACCAGCTCATCCTCATCCCCCCCAAACTCATGCTAATTTGCTTTTCCCCCAGCATCATTCCAGCCTGAATGCCCTACCCCTGAGGATACTTCGGAAAGAGCTAGCCACTCCCTCTTCAACCCTCCTCATGAATCGTTCCAGAGCTGTTCTAGAGCCTTCAAGCACCCAGCCAGCAGGTATCTTGGAGTTTGGGGGAATACTCTGGAGGTAGAAGGGGGTCATAAGCTGGGGGAAGACATAGTCCTGTAATGTGAGGGGTTTGAAATTGGGCAGAAGATGTTCAGGCCAAAAAAAAAAAGGCCATTGATCTTTTATCTTCACAGCTGTACCTGGCAGGATAGGAGTGGATAGCAGCAATGTGAAATTGAACCTCCCAGTGTAAGTATTCCAGGCCTGATGATTAGATCCTTAAGTATGGATGAATTCATAAGGTTGGGGGTGAGGGGGCAGTTGAGACAAAGGATACACATACCTGAGGGGAATAGAGATAAAACCGCAGAAGAATCTAGGGATAGTATATCTTGAATCCTGGGGATATAGGTGCCTGAGTCTTTGATGAGAGGGAGGCTTGGTTATAGTGGGGGGAAGAGGGATGAAGATGGACTTGGGAGGTTAAACAACTGCCCCTCCCTAGTCTAAGCTGGTTTTTACCCTTCTCTATCAGGCGTCAATTCAAAATTGATGACTTTGAAATTGGGCGGCCGCTGGGTAAGGGCAAGTTTGGGAATGTGTACCTGGCTCGGGAAAAGAACAGCCAGTTCATTGTGGCACTGAAGGTTCTCTTCAAGTCTCAGATGGAGAAGGAGGGTGTAGAACACCAGCTTCGAAGAGAGATTGAGATCCAGTCTCATCTTCGGTATGGATGAGTTCTTACTGAAACTACCTTCCCTTTTCCTATTACAGTTACTCTCTTTCCTGGCTTCCTTTTCTGAACCAGTAGCCCTATTTCTCCCTTTCCCTTCCTACCATCCCCACTATTCCTCGAATCCCATTTTATCCACCCATTTCATGTTTTTCTAGATGTTAACATCCCCACCCCAATATTTCTCCTTTTAAGGAGCTGTCTCTGCCTCTACCCGGGCAAGAGCCTCTTGGTCCTGCTGTATCCCTTGCTCTTTTCTACAAGTTTATGGACTAGCTTGTTAGCAGTTTGTTCCGGTACTGAGTGCAGTTTTCCCAACCTGGGACCTATCATTGGAAAATTGCTTTTATCCCATTACCCAGTTGTGTCAGGCCCCTTATTTCCTGGTATCTAGTGTGGTATAGTAAAAAGAAAAGGAGACAGTGGATTATAGGATTATAGGTTTAGAACTGGAAAGAACCTTGGAGATCATCTATTCCAACCCCTTTCATTTTACAGATGAGGAAATTGAGGCGTAGAAAGAAAAGACATTTATTAAGCACTTACTACATGCCAGGCATTGTGCTAAACACTGGGAATACAAGCAAAAAGAAAGACAGTCTCAGCCCTCTAGGAGCTTACATTCTAGTAGGAAAAGACAACACAAAAGGGAGCGAAAAAATGGGGTGGAGAGGAAGAAGGAATGTACCCAAGAGTGAGGGCAAGGTGAAAAGATCATCAGAGGCCATCATAGGTGGGCCCAGGTTTGAAGAGAGCATAATGACTGGTGTAATAGAAATGACTTGCCCAAGGCCACATGAGTTGTAGGTGACAGTGCCAGGATTTACACCCAGATCCTTTGACTCCACATTCAGTGATCACCTTCTCCCCTCCCCACCAATCTTCAAGGTGTATGATTAGGTGAAAGGAGGTTGGTCTATCTGAGTCTCATGTGTAGAATGAGGGTGACACCCCTATCCTGCCTTACACTGTCTACATCACAGTGTTGTCAGGAAGAAGCTACTTCATAAGTCTTTAAACACTACATAAATATTAGTTGCTATTATTACCCAGTCATTTTGCCTCCTTTTTCCCAGGCACCCCAACATCCTTCGCCTCTACAATTACTTTCATGACCGTAGTCGGGTTTACCTGATTCTGGAATATGCACCTCGGGGTGAACTCTACAAGGAACTGCAGAAGAGCCATACATTTGACCAGCAACGCACAGCCACGGTCGCGGGGTGCTGGGGGACAGGGTGTGGTTATTCCTGAAGAGCAATTGAAGATGGATACAGGGCACTGCTGATGGTTAGGGTAGGGATGTGAGTTAGATTGCCCATCTGATCTGTTCTCTCATCTGCTCCTAGATCATGGAGGAGCTAGCAGATGCCTTGATCTACTGCCACGGGAAGAAAGTGATTCACAGAGACATTAAGCCTGAGAATCTACTTATGGGACTTCGAGGAGAGCTCAAGATTGCTGACTTTGGCTGGTCTGTCCATGCTCCCTCCCTTAGGTATGACCAAAGGAAAGGGTACTGGGAACCATATTGGGGCAGGGATATGTCTTAGTAGGGCAGGATATGTTGACATGAAGTCTGGAGGGTGGGTTGTAGGTGATAATTCTTCCCTGTACCCTCTCTTGGGAATCTGCCTTTAGGTGTTCCTGTTCTCTCATCTCGTTGCTTTTAGCCAAAGACTAGGAGAATGGAGAATCTCTGTTTCTGGTACCATTAACCAACATCTTCCCCAATTTAGGAGGAAAACAATGTGTGGGACCCTAGACTATCTTCCCCCTGAAATGATTGAAGGACGTACACATGATGAAAAGGTGGATCTTTGGTGCATTGGAGTGCTGTGCTATGAGCTATTAGTGGGAAATCCTCCCTTTGAAAGCTCCTCTCACAGTGAGACCTATAGACGGATCACCAAGGTATGGGTAAAGGTGGGGTGATGGGAGTCACCAGCAACCCAACTGGTGCATAGAGTTGGAGGTGGGAGGGGGAGCATGGAAAAGATCCAATAAGATCCTCATTACAGTTACATGAGTTCTGGATTGGGAACTGAATAGTTTCAGCTTGAACAAAGTCTGTCTTACATAATTTCATATAATTCCTCCAGTGTTGTGGGTGCATGATAAAGATCTGTTGGTTTGAATAATGTCTCATTCTACCTTCCTTTCTCCACTTTAAAAGGTGGACCTGAAATTCCCTTCATCTATGCCTTCTGGAGCCCAGGACTTGATCTCTAAGCTGCTCAGGCATAACCCCTCAGAGCGACTTCCCCTCACTCAGGTCTTGGCGCACCCCTGGGTGCAGGCCCATTCCCGGAGAGTGCTTCCTCCTTGTTCCTCCCGTCCTGCCCACTGAATCCTATCTTAGGTATAGATTTATGTATGTTTTGTATGTTGAAGGGAAATGAAGTCAGAGGAAGGTAGATCCCTGGCTTCTTTCTCTGTCATTATTTCCTCTAAACTGAAAGACTATTTAATAAAGATTTAAATGTTTTTTGTATGTATGAAGATTGATGATGAAGCTGGAGAATGACACCCCACCCCCTCAGTAAGTAGTCTGAAGGAAAAGGTCTTTACAAGCCAGAATCAGGGAGTTGGATTCCATGGCTGACCAGTCAATGCTGCCCTCAAAAACTTCTAGATTCTAGACCGGGGGTGGGGAACCTTCAGCCTCGAGGCCACATGTGGCCCTCTAGGTTCCAAAGTGGCCCCTTGACCGAATCCAAACTTCACAAAACAAATTCCCTTAATTAAAGGATTTGTTCTGTAAAACTTGGACTCAGTCAAAAGGCCTCACCCGGAGACCTAGAAGGACACATGGCCTCAAGGCCAAAGGTTTCCTACACCTGGTTTAGACCTTCTTTGTCAGTTCTAACCTTGAGTCACTGGCACCATCCATTTTCTCTTCTCATGCCCTGAATATATGGGAAAAGTCATAGAACCATATAAAACTGGCATTCTGTACAATCATACTAATTTCAATTAGATCCTCAATACAATCATTTTATGATTTGATTATCTAGCATGTTCCCATAGCAGTTCTGCAACTGTACCTTTATTCAAGCCTCTAGGAACCCCAGCTTTTCACAGGTGAATGACCCTCCCTCTTAAACTGAAGAAAATAGAGCCCTCAGTTCCAGTCCCTTCCATTGTCTCATCCAACTCTCCATCCTTTTGACTCATTACCTATTGCCCCTACCCTAGTCTAGGCCTATATCACCTCACATTTTCTTACATTTAGATTCCATCAACTGCCTCCCTGACTCCAGTCCTCTCTCCCTGAAACCAATCAGTTAACTAAGTTATTGAGTGGACTGATTATGGTCAACACTGACTATATACTCTGAGCAACAGAAAAGTTAGAATCCCCACCCACAGGTCTAGTAGAGGAGGAAAGACCTTGACAATTATAATACAAGATAGAATATGAGTAAGTGTCATATCAACAGGTGAGACCAAGTCTTAGGCAGAGCTGGAATCTTCTTGCAATGTGAAAAGTGATTCTAAGTTGTAAGGACATGGACTTTACTGGAATGATGGTGGTGAAGAGTACTTAACATAGGCCCTTGTAGCAAGATTCCAGGGAGGGATTTTGTTAGGGAACCTTCATGGGGACCCACTCAGTTGAATAGAATGGCAGTTTCTCTGGTTCTCTGGCCAAAAATCATTGTACCAGTGTATGGAAAACTGACACATTTCTCTAGTGCCTTACCAAATTTTGTTTAGCCATTCCTCAATAAGTGAACACCTCCTAAGTTTCCAGGTTTTTGCTTTTACAAAGAGAGCTGCCATAAATGTTTACAAATAGGTCATTTTACTCTTTCTTTGGTATAGGCCTAGTAGCAGTGTCACTGAATCAAAAGTGACTTCCAGGGCACATTTTTCAAACTGCATTCTAGAATTGCTGGACCAGCAGCCCCTTTGACATTTGTCATTTTCCTCTTTTGTCATCTTTGCTAATCTTATTGGTGTAAGGTTTCATCTCATAGATTCATTGTGGCTTTCAGCCACTTTATTTTTTTATATTTTGGCTGTACCTATCTTCATGTGTTTCTAGTAAGGAATGCCCTCTGCCAATGCAAATCAGTAACTGTTCTACAGCTTTAGTCTTAGAGGGTTTCCTGGGACACTGAGAGGTTAAGCAACTTGTCATGGTCACTCAGTATGTGTCAGAGGTGGCACCTGAGCCCATTTCTTTATTCCGAATATAAGAATTCCATTTTGTTCTGCCCTTTTAGACTCGGTGATGGGGTAGTGAAAATAGTCAACGTGAATTGCTTGCTGATTTCTGCTACAATTTGTCGTCTAAAGTGGGAGCCTGTCACTGTGAATAGAGGGATAAAATTCCCTCCATTAATAGAAAGATGTTAATTCTTTTGAGGCTTTTATTTTAATAACCATGACAAGTATCCTTTTGTCCTGGGATAGGCTTCAACTACCCATCCTAGATACATTTATCAACTAGTTAGCTGTCTAGTGCCATTCTGACATTTGTATAAAATCTATTTACAAAAGTTACATTTTAGGAACTGAGCTTCCCTTTTTGGCTTTAAGAGCACATTTCCCACATTTTCAGCTTAGTAAATAGGGCAGCTCATGCAATATTGTTAGGCCATTGAAAGGAAAGAGCAAACTAATTTCTTCTAATTTGCTTTAGTCATCCACATATGCCATTCCATAGTATGCCCAAGCAAGGTATACCCTGGAAGCACACATTTGTACCATGGAGGGTTTGACTGTAAATGGCACTGCCAATCTCCAAGTATTTTCGATTAGAACCAGGCAAAAAGAATCTACTGCTCAATTCCTGAAAGAATCTTCCAAATAAAAATGCCCAGGAATGTCACAGCTAAAATCCACAGCTTCCAGTTGAAAGAAAAAGATACTTCAAGAAGCCAGAAAAGTTTTAAGTAACAAGGAATTATAGTCAGGATTACAAGATATTGGAAACCTAATAACATAAAGAAGAATTGGAGTTATTATCCTACAAGGGGAGAAATGGGATCTTTAATGAAATATATTAATCATTCCTGATTTAAAAAAAAAAAGACCAGAGTTTCGTGTTGTTGTCCAGTCATGACCCCATTTTGGGTTTTCTTGGCAACGATGCTGGAGAGGTTTGCCATTTCCTTCTCCAGCTCATTTTACAGATGAGGAACTGTGGCAGAGTTAAATGACTTGCCCAGGGTCACATAGGACCTATTTGAGGCCAGATATGAACTCATGAAGGCTCATCTTCAGGCCTGGCAGTCCATCAACTGTGCTACCTAGCAGGAGTCAAACCTAGAAAAGTAAATACATTTGAGCAACTGGAAGGGACTATATAATGATGCAGCATTTACATTCTAATGGGAAAAGAATTGGTCTCCTGGGAATCCTAATACCTTCTGAGGTCATAGAAGGAATTAAATTAGACATTTATGTAATACTATGTGGCAGGCACCATGATAAAAGCTTTACACATAATCTCATTTGATAGATGAAGCCGAATATACAATTAATACTCATAACCACAAATATATATGGGATGACCTCATCTATATAATGGACGAAAATAGAATGTATTACAAAGCAAAATCCAACAATATTTTGTTTACAAGAAACTCACTTGAAACAGGTGAAATAAAAAAAATCAAAAGAGAAATTACGATTTTAGATAAGACAAGAATAAATGTAGACTTGATTAATGTTAGCTGGGAAACTACACAATGCTAAAAGGCACCACAGAAAATGTATCAATATTATATAACCTTTTCAATGTAACAAACCTAAATAAATCTAAGAAAAAGATTAAAAAAACAATTAAGTTGTGATAGATCTCTGGCAACTACTGAATGGGAATAGAAAGGGATAGGTAGGTAGAGTGTGTGTGTGTGTGTGTGTGTGTGTAATCACTCACACATGGTACCTTTAAAATCTTCACAAGCAACTGCAGAAAAGTAGAAATATTAAACATCCTTTACTGACCACAGTGAAATAAAAATATGCTCAACAAAGGCTTTTGAAAAAAGGATTAAAAATTAGAGACTGAAATGTTAACCTTAAAGAATTGGTGTTCAAGAAACCTGAAAGCCATGATAAAGAAAAAAAAAAAGGCCTCAATAGGATCTTTCAAGAAATTATCAAGGAAAACTTTCCTGATACCCTAGAAATAGAGGGTAAAATGTAATTGAAAGACTCCACTGATTACCTCCTGAAAGAGATCCCCAAATGAAAATTCCCAGGAATTTAGCCAAATTCCAGAACTCTCTGATCAAGGAGGAAATAGCACAAGCAGCTAAACAAATTCCTTTTGTGCTACAATGTTCTCAATGAAAGGATTAATACATATGTAAAATAAAGGAAAGGGTGGGGTTCACATGAATTTCACTTTCATATGAACAGAAAAAAGAAAGAATGAAAATATACAGATGGGCCGGGGCAGCTAGGTGGCTCAGTGGATAGAGCACCAGCCCTGAAATCAGGAGGACCTGAGTTCAAATCTGGCCTGAGACCAAACACTTGACATTACTAGCTGTGTGACCTTGGGCATGTCACTTAACCCCAATTGCTTAAAAAAAAAAAAAAGAAAATATACAGACAAATGGAGTTACGTGTAGAAACACATTAAATCCAATAGGAATAGCAAATGGGAAAAGGATTAGTGATTAGTGGTGGTGATGGCAGAAAGGTGGGCTTCTTCCTCCACATTTTTTGAGGATGGTTGCAAGGACCTTGAGGAAAGAAATGCTCATGCTCCATAATGAGGGGTGCTGCTCAGACCTTTGAGGCCACAGACCACCCCATGCTTCACCCCATATTATCATGCCATAGGTGGGCACCCACCCCGTAAACTTCCTTACCCATAGATCTAGTCTTGTCACCTTGATGAATTCTTTTGGCCTTCAAAGCATTCCACAATCTGGTTTTGCTCTACATTACTTACCTCGTCTGACCTCTTTCCACATTATTCTGCTGCTCTCCAGCCAAAATGTACAACTCTGTTTCCAGAATACCGGCTTCAATTTCTGACTCTGAGATTTTACTCTGTCTGGTTTCTTCAATGACCCTCTCTTTTCCCTTCTACCTGTTGAATTGCTGTCCAACTAAATGGACACCTTTCCTCATGAAATCTTTGGCAATTTTTCACCCACTGAATGACTTTTCTCTTTCCTTGAACTACACACAGAGTTTTCTTTGCACCTCTTTTATATATAAGGCCTTCTCTAGAGGGAGAACAGAGAGGAAGATAAAGAAGTGCGGCATAGTTGGTTTTCAGAGGAAAGGGGCTGTCCTTTTGATTTTAGTGTTTACTACCTACAGGACCTTATATAATTAATTCATTAAACTCCCTTGGTCCATCTGTAAAACAAGATTTCATCCTTTCTGGAACTATAATCTAAGGTGCTAAGATTATTCTTTGGATAATTTCTATATAACTTCCTCAGAAAATTATTCTGGCTTATCTAAAGTTTGGTTCTCTCCCAATTTCTGTATAC